GGCTCTGGGCCGGGCAGTGGGCCAGGGTCTGCTGTGTGGCTGAGCTCTGACCACAGGCTGTCTGGGGCTGGTGAGCTCCTGAGAGAGGGGACTGGAGCAGAGTACCCTAGGGTGGGAGCTCATGAGGAGGGGTCTGTGGGGTGTGGAAACCATTCTAGAGCAGGCAGACGACACTTGTCAGGGGAACAGGCATAGAAAGGACCCCTGTGGGGGTGGGGGACACACAGCCTCAGAAGGAACAGGGAAGGGGCTTTGACAGGTCCAGGGAGCATCCCTGAGGTTTCCTAGCACAATTCCCACCAGCCATGTCCCAGGGGTCCCCCTGCCCCCAACCCTCTGCAGTGCCAGCCCAATGCCCTGCCCCTTTGCCCCATGGCAGAAGGGGGGCACAGCACTGAGGAGAACGTAGTCCACCGCCTGGTGGCTGTCAGCCCTGTGCTCACTCCACCCAAGGAGGCTCTGTGACTCAGCGGCTGCCCCCTCCTATCCCTGGGGCAGTCCCCTGGAGGGGAGTGACCAGAGGCATCCCGGCACCCACTCAGGGAGATGCCTTCTAGTCCCTAAATTAAATCCCCCGAGAAAGCAGCTTCCATGGGCTCTGGCCATCGATGAGGCGTGGCAGGGCTGCCCTCCCTAGTCACTTCATATGGACACGAGATGCCTCAGCCCACCTGCCCACCTGCTGCTTCCCTTAGTCCACCAGCCCAACCTGACGCCTCTGTTTCCTCATCCTGTAAAATGGGGATAGCGTGCCTTCTGGCCAATGTCTTAAATTGTCCTGAGACAAAGCCTGCCAAGCTCCTGGTAAACACCCTGGTTCTCCCTCCTCGTTCCTGAGGTCTGGGAGGTGCCCTTTGGGCAGCTGAGCTCTGACCAACCGTGGGGGGCCAAGGAGTGACTGGGACATGCGGCTGCCTGGACCAGAAGCCTGGGGGATTCGCTGCACTCTGCCCGTCCGGGAGCCAAGGAGAAGGTGCGTTCCGTGCTCCTAACTTCTGGGGTGCAGCCTGGGGCCAGGGGTCTGAGGCCTCTCCCAGTCAGCTCCGGAGCTGCCTCTCTGGCGGTGGTAGGCGGAACGCTTGATTCGTTTCCTCCTGGACTCGCTGGGGCCCTCCCAGCCTGGGTACTCGGGAGGCCTGAGACCCTCTTGCTATGCCTGCATGGGTGTTTGGGGGCCTCCAGGGTATGGCCAGTCCCCCTAGGGTGGGAGCCAGTGGTTATCGTGGGCCCAGCCAGGACCGTCTGGGTCCCTCAAGGCACGGCAACACAGCATTGCTGGTCTCCTTTGGGGCAGGGGTCAATTCGCGGGCTTAAACATTTAGAGGGGCCCCTCTTTATGAAGGAATACAATACATATGATTCCCTGCCACATTTTCATTTATATACCGTTCGACGCCTTTCTGGACCGCCAGACGGGGGCTGGTGAAAAGTCGGGGGCCTGGAGCTCGGGGGGCGTCCAGATGGGACCCTGTCCTTCCTTTGTAACAGCCCAGAGTCCAGGTCTTTTGCCAGGCATTGGGGGCCGGCACTCGCAGGAGGGTTGGGGGCACGGGGACCCTGGGACCACTGGCTGGTGGGATTTGTGCTAGGAACCTCCAGGGATGCTCCCTCCGGCCTGTCCACAGCCCTTCCCTGTCCTTCTGAGGCTGTGTGTCCCCCACACGGGGGTCGTCTTTCTATGCCTGTCCTGACAACGTGGTCCGTCTGGCCTGCCTAGAATCGGGTT